TTGGATGCTTCATTTTTCATAGTTCCTTGATAATGTGAGTAGTCACGAAAGCGCTTGGAATTCTCTATTCTTTCAGAGTGGTTGTTTTGCATATTTTTAAAATCACCTGTTTACTGTGATCTTATTGCATATTTTAATATTTATATATATATATAATATATATATATATATATATTATATATATATATTTATATATATATATATATATATATATATAAAATATATATATATATATATTATACATACTTTACTAAAAGAGGAGGCAGTTAGGGTAAGATATAAACACTATTGGAGGATAGATGGGCTAATGAGAGCATAGGCAATGGGGTCGAAGAGGTATGGGGTAGGTTTAAAAATGTAGTGTTAGAGTGTTCAGCAGAAGTTTGTGGTTAAAAGGAAAGTTGGTGCGGGAGGGAAGAGGAGCGATTGGTGGAATGATGATGCAAAGAGAGTAGTAAGGGAGAAAAAGTTAGCATATGAGAAGTTTTTACAAAGTAGAAGTGATGCAAGGAGGGAAGAGTATATGGAGAAAAGAGAGAGGTTAAAAAGAGTGGTGAAGCAGTGTAAAAAGAGAGCAAATGAGAGAGTGGGTGGAAAAGTTTTTCAAAAATTTTTTTTTGTTGAAAAAAGAACAAGTTTTGGAGTGAATTAAAAATTTAAAGGGGAAAGCCTAGAAAACCAAATGGATTTTGTATTTAAAAAAATAGGCGAGGAAGTTTTTAAAATTTGGGGGATTTGGGGAAGTTTTGGGGAAGATGGAGGGAATTTTTTGAGGAATTTTTAAAATGTTGTAAAGATGGGGAAAAGCTTTTGATTTCGTGTTTTGGGGCCCAAGGAGGAATAAAAATTTTGAAGGAGTGAGGGGAGCCAGTTGTGAGTGGGGGGGAAGTTCGTGGGCAGTGGGAAAAATAAAAGGGGGGAAAGGGCACCCGGGGATTAAAGGGGAAAAAGGGATGAAATTTTAAAAAGAGGTGGGGAATATTTAGGGGAGTGGTTGGTGAAATTTATTTAAAAATTTTGTAGGGGAAGGGGTTAGGTACCTAGGGTTTGGGCAGAGGGGCATGCATAGTTCCTTTGTAAAAAGGAAAAAGGGGACAAAAAGAGGCAAAAAAAAAAGGGGGATAAGTCTGTTGAGTAAAACCGGGAAAAGTTTTAAGGGTTTGTTTTATTTTTAAAAAGGAATTAAGAGTAAGAGGGAAAATAGGATAGCAGAAAACAAGGAGGCTTTAGGAAAGGTGGGGGGTGTGGGGACCGGGTGTTTACAGTGAAACATAAAAAGGGTAAAACGTATTTAGATAAGGTTTAAAAAAGGTTTTTGGGTGGGATTTATGGTTTTGGGAAAAGGCGAAAGGACAGGGTGGATGGGGGACAATGGGCAGATGTTCCCAGGGGGTAGGGGTGTAGGAGGTAGGTTATGAAAGAAAGTGAAGGTTTTTACGAGGAAGGGGAGGCTCAAGTTAGAGAAAGTAGGAAAGAGGGAAATTTAATTTCCCAGTAAAAGTAGGCCTTAGAAAAGGGGATGTGTGATGTCCCCTGGTTGTTTAATTATTTATAGAGGGGGTTGAAAGGGAGAAGTAAATTGAGGGTTGGGCAAGGGGCGTGGAGTTAAAAGTTTAAAGAATCACACAAAGTAGAGTTGTCACGGGTTGCCCCTTTGCTGATGACACTGTGCTTTTGGGGAAGATTCTGAAAAAAGAAGTTGCAGAATTGGGGGATTAAATTTTTGGTGGGGGTTTTTCCCAAAAGAAAAAAAAATTAAAAGTGAATACGGGGAAAGAGTAAGGTAATGGGGATAAAAAAAAGTTAGGTGATAAAAGTTGGAAAACAAAATTGGAGGGGAGGGGTATGGAGGAGGTGAATGTATTCAGATTTTTTGGGAGGGGACGTGTCAGCGGATTTTGGGGCCCATGAAAGATGGGGGTAATCATAAAATTGATGAGGGAAAAGGGTGAGTGGCGCATTAGGAGTCTGTGGAGACAAAGAACTTTTTTCCCTTTGGGGGCAAAAAAGGGGAAAAGTTCGGGGGAATGTTTTTTACCAACCTTTTTATATGGGTGTGAAGCATGGGTGATGAATGTTTTTCGCAAGGGAAGGCCCGGAGGCAGTGGGGGGATGTCCCTTTCTGAGGGGCCCAAAGTGTGGTGTGAAATAATTTCAGAGAATTCGTAGTTTGGGAAACTAGGAGGAGGTGCGGGATTTTCCAAAAAAATGTTGTTTCCCGAGGGGTGAGGAAGGGTTGTTGAGGTGGTTCGGACATGTAGAGAGAATGGAAACGAAACAGAGTGACCCTTTAAGAGTGTATCAGTCCCCCAGTGGAAGGGGAAAGGGGGGGTGGGGGGGCCCCAGGGAAAAGGGTTTGGGGGGAGGGGGGTTTAAAAGGGGGTTTTGTGTGCGAGGGGGGTTGGACTTCCAGCAGGCAGCCTGAGCGGGGTTTTATAGGGGGAAAGGAACAAATGGTTTTTAATAAATTGACGTGCTTTGGGGGTGTAAGCAAAGTAACATTTTGAAAAGGGGGTTTGGGAAAACCCGGGAGGCCAGACTTGAGTCCTAGAGTGGGAAAATACGTGCCTTTCCCCTCTGAAAAGGGGGGGGTGTTAATGTTGCAGTTTAAAAACTGTAGTGTAAAGCACCCTTCTGGCAAGACTGATGGAGTGAATGATGGTGAAAGTTTTTCTTTTTCGGGCCACCCTGCCTTGGTGGGAATCAGCCAATGTGATGGTAAAAAAAAAAAAAAATACATACATACATACATACACACACTCTCTCTCACACTCACTCTCACACTCTGAAGAGGTGGGGGGCCAGCAGTGATTTGACCCCTGCAACCACAATTAGGTGAATATACACACACTGCTGTTAACAGACAAAATCTTGATGCAATGGGCTTAGTCCATTGCACTGAACATTTGTCTGGCCATATATTTTGTTTCGTTATATCCAAAATCTGTTATATTAAGGTTTTATAGTGCTGTACTTAATGATGTACTGGTTTGTAAAAATTACCTTACACCACTTGGTATTCAGGACTAGGCCATTTGGTCATTACGTTTATGGAAAAGCACTGAACCCATAAGAGTTTTATAGTGCTAGGAGAATGGGAGAAGTGGGGTGTAATTAGGTTGTATTTGAGGAAGGGGAGGGTAGCTCCACTTCTTTACATCAAGAACCATCAAAGCAACACCCTTCAGATGTAGCCATTATTTCTTATGTCTTTTGCAACACCCTTCAGATGTAGCCATTATTTCTTATGTCTTTTTATTGGTTTAGGTTTTGCCCACTTTTGCCCACATATTGTTGCATTTGTATCTTTTGTTGGTAATTTCACTTTGAGATGTTTACCCAGTACTGTATATCCTTACTTATTAGCCACTGCGTACTGATATACTGTACTTAGCATCACTCGCGTGTCTTTTTAGTCAGTGTGTCTCCTCAACTAACCACTGCATTTTAAAGTTCAAATAACATATAGAATATTTAATAACTTTTTTTTTTTTTACTTTCACATTATTATTGTAATTTAATAAATTCTGTCTACTCAACCAACTACTGCATGTTGGAATAAGTAATGTTGTCTTCAGTGAATTACTTATGTTTGATTTACACCTAAATATTGTCATAGTCTAACTGAAGAGCCACAATCACTGCAACTGAAGAATAGAAAGCACAGTATCGTGACTGGAACAATATACAAATAACTCACACATGGGAGACTGAAACTTATAGACATTTCAGTCCAACTTGGACTAGTTAATGGTCCAAAACATTATCATAAGTTTGTCTCCTATGTGCACGTATCTGTGAATCACTACAGCTAATCACATGGCTCACTTCTGTAATGTACTTACCAAATTCTTGTGTGGGAGGTTATGACCACACTACACTATAATTGATAACTTCCTACATAATGGTCTTCAAGATGGAATTCGAGAAATTCCTGCAATTGTGTATGATCAGTTAGGCTGGAACCAGAAATATTATATTTATAGAAGGGTGGAGGTGCTAAACCCATAGAGGTCATGGAGTGCTTGAGGGAATTTAAGGCAATATGGCCTGATCCCAGGAAGGGAAGGTCTAGTTCCTTGGATCATAACCACCTTGTTGGCATCAAGCAACCTCCAATGAGGGGTGGAAAAACCAATAGCCTGTATGATCAGGATGTCACCAAGAAAATTTGGCTTCAGGGTAGGTTGTTTAAATTTAAATACAGTACCCCCAAGACTAGTCAGATCAGTCACATGTAATGAGGTCATTTTATGAATGAATTAGACACACAGACAACACTTGGGTGTCTTTATTGTTACAGTGTTTTGTAAACAAGTATCTTTATCAATCACATGCAAAGAATAAACTGAAGACACTTTTCTTTAACACACCGGCCATCTCCCACCAAGGCAGGGTGACCTGAAAAAGAAGAAACTCGGAAAGCTTTTCTTTTTTTTTAATGGCCCAGCCATATTCCACTTAGGCAGGGTGACCTTAAAAAAAAAGTTTTTCTTTTTAAATTTAGTAATTTATATAGAAGGGGTTACTAACCCCTTGCTACTGGCATTTTAATTGCCTCTTATGACATGTATGGATTATAGAGGAAGGATTCTTCTTCTTGTTCCCCATGGAGAAACTGTAGACATCAATAGGTAATTTGATGTGAAGTGTCCTTCAGCCTTGATATAGTAGCTGAGGAGCTGAAAACTCCTATCAAGGCTGATGGACTGATCACTTCAAACTACCTCTCCATGCCTTCCACTGTTTATTCTCTGCATTGGATTGATGAAGCCACTGGTTTACAAAATTTTTCCACAGTAAAGGTACCCAAGTGTTATACATGTGTTAATTCATCTACTTGATGGCTTTGTATATCATTAGTAAAACAGAAAATTTCATGTTCATAATTTACACAGCAGTAAAGTAAAAGAATGAATTATTAACTATGTTCCCCTAAAATGGTATATAATTTATCCTTGCCTAATTATGATACTCTTTTAGGATAAATAAATTAAAAATAAAATATTACCTTGTTTAATCATACATTATACAAAACAAACATACAAAACATATTATCTTTTACTCATTATGAACTACACTGAAACATGGGTCAGCAACACAACAGGGTAATTTAGGAGCACTTGCTTGGCAATGGTCTACAATGGCTCTTTTTAGAATTTTTGGCTTATTTCAATAATCTTTATTATTATGATTAGCTTAAGTGCTAAACCTGAAAAGGTCATACAGAGTAATGTAAGTAATGTATAAAACATTTGGATTTACCAAGCCCATTGTAAGTATTCCCTTGCCAAGACCATTGCCACTGTGACTTCCATATCCTTATCCTGGTGTTGATGGTTCTTAGTATTATTCCTGCTGCTTTTTTTTGCCTGTCACACTGAACATAAATAATGATGAAGCAAAGTTACACTTTATAACAAATCAACCTGTAAGTTAATATTTTTAATTAGTAAGCAATTATTTTAGTTAAAATTATTACATGTTTTTTTTTTGTTTGTTTTTATATTCACAATTTTTTTTTTTTTAATAATTTACATCTTACACAAACACTATAGGCATACAATATTGACAAACAATAATTTAACCAAGGGTAAGAGAACGCAAGTGTACATAGATGTCGGTCAAATGTTAATGACTTAGTAGACGGAGAAACCAATATAAGGAGTTAGGTCATCAAAATTTGCAACTTTGCCCCACACTAACACAAATTACAGAATTATTGAACATTTACATGGAACAATTGTTAAGATCACTGTCAATGACTGATCACAAATTAGTCAGTCAGTAAATAAATTACTGCATGTAGGGATGATCTTTCAACCCCATGCTTCTCAGGTATAGTAAGGAAGCTAGAGTGACTGAAAATGCTTTCACTGCATCCCTACACACAAAAATAATTACAAATCATCACTCAATACATATACTACTTAACATTATCATACAAAAAGCAAATTGTGACCACTTGTTGGTTGTGAACTTGATTATGAATAATATTTGTACCAGCAAGTCACTCGTGGGTATCAAACAGTGCAGAGGAGACAGGCACACACAAATCTTGGGATTACACTTTTAAGATCACACGTGTTAATTGGCAAGCTGTAGTTGACTTAGCTGTAAATTGAGTAATTTTCAGAAGTAGGCACACAAAAACATCTATAATCTTGGTCCACAGACCTTATCTGAGACAATTTATATGTTAACAAAAGGCTTGGCAAACCTACGACAAAGTATCACATTCAACACAGAAGTACTTTCAATGGGCATTAATCATCATTATACTTGTGGATTGAGCTGTCAGTACCAAGATGTTTATAGAAGGCAAGGTTAGTTTTGGGTACATATTCTAAAACTGGATTGAAACTCGTGATAAGTAGTATAGGTAGTACCAGAGTTGCAAGAGTAAACAAGTTGAATATTAGAATCTGCACATGATCTTAAATTCTGGTAAGAGGATAGTTTCTATTTAATTTTATGAAGCAGGGAAAAAATACTGTTGATGTAGAGAAAGTTTTGATTGATGTCCCCACACAAAAATGATGAGTAACACCCAAGATTTTACCCCAAAATATCCATCTGCAAATAATTAAAATGGCACCTTACTCTGCAGGCAAGGACAGACCATGGGACTTTGGAAGCCACGCAGTGCTGCACAACACACGAATACACTCATGTCAATGAGGGTAATCATAAGTGCTTGATGCACACAAGTGTCTCTTGTTCTGTCCTGGCCACCAAGCTACAAACCACATGGCTATAATACTGTCTAGTACACATCCCTCCAACACTTCCAATACAGTGTACTTAAGATAACTTTACCAAAGTTTCTACTATACAATTACTGTACTTCATTCCATCACTACACTATAATTAAAAGAAAAAGAAAAAAATGTTACTCATTTCCTAACTGAGCCCAGGAGGGGTCCTGCTGCACTTCCTCCAAAGACTTACACACTGGATGGAGACATTGAGCAAAGCAACAACACACAGGAAGAATGCCAGTTTGCCTGGTGAGCGGGCTATGTCCTTCCTGCTGTCCGGTTTACCCACAGGAGAGGTTTGGCTCGGAGGGTTCAGTTTCAGGGTAGGCAGACACAACACATCCATATAGCATGTCATGAATATTATATTTTATCTTCATTCATTATTTCAAAATCTTGTACAGTATCTCTATAAGTCATTTCATGGACATGGCAAACATTAATATCAATGACATTCTCAAGATCTAAGCTAAGACAAAAGGCTGGCACACTCACTCCTTCAAATGTGAGTTTACTTCGTCTACAGGCAAGTGTTGCGTCTTAGCCCTAATCTGGTTTAGAGAAAACTAACAGTAATGGCCACCAGCACCATCCCACTGTGTATCAGTTGTTCCTTTTGTATAAAAATAGAAATGCACAACATCTCTGAAACAACTAACATAAAATCTTCCCTGGAGTGCAGGATACTATTGACATATAAAAGCACTCAAAAGTTTCATGTCTTGTTACAAGTGACAAAACTTCAGTAACAGATAGTAGTACACATTCTCTTAGCCCAATACCCATTTAAGTACTACAATTCTCTGGCACAAAAAAATGTTTTAAATATAAATATCTACTGATATATATATGGACCCAATGCAAATAAATTGCATGTAAAATCACACTGTATAAAATTTTTCATAAATTTAATGAAAATAGCTTATTAGAATTTTATTTGAATGCAAATTTTGTATACGTATATATGTACTGTCCTTGACTAGATAATTATTTTTTTCACCAATTCTAGTATCAGAATAGATTTTTAAAAAATAGCCTGAATGAGTTAAACTGATATCCAGTTTAATGTTTCTCTTCTCGCGCATTATTATTATTATTATAATAAAAAAGAAGCGCTAAGCCACAAGGGCTATACATACAGCCCTCTTCTCGCGCAGAAACTCGGGTAATCACATTTCCAGTAATACTGACTAGATACGCTTTTAAATTCTGATCAGCGTATTACCCTCATTCCTTTGATATTTTGTGTTTGTTATTTGCATTAGTTTGTTATGAAATTCAGTGTTTATAATGAAGTACTGCATTTAGAAAGAATACATAATGTACAGTATATACCAGTCTTCTACAATTTTGATTACAATACCTTCATCCAAAAATATACATGAAAAACTTACGTATGACACAGCAATATGACATGTAGCACTTTTATTAATTTGTTAAGGTTGTGAGATAGTTACTAAGTTTCATATTTAAGTCGTTTGAATGCTGGGAGAATACCATCTTCACTCCTTTGATGGGTTGTGCTGTCACCATTATATACCACATAGCTGTTGGAGTCAGTGCTCTTGTTGCCTCCCAAGCCCTAAAAAATAAAATAAGCAATATATATGTTAATTTTAAGATAAACTACAAATTTTACAATCAAAATATAGTATACATTATTCTTAAAATATGATGTGAGTGTTGAATTCTAATTCATATTAGACTTACCAAGATTTGTTGTGATGAACTGATATAAGGACTGTTTGAAAATATCAGGACAACAAATTTATAATAATAAGACTGTACGTATTTGTTTTACATGATGGTAGGATTACTGGTGTTTTTTTTTTTTTGTCTCATAAACATGCAAGATTTTAGGTACATCTTGCTACTTCTACTTCCATTTAGGTCACACTACACATGCATGTACTAGTTCTTGTTTATTTCCACTTATCTCCATGGGGGAGTGGAACAGAATTCTTCCTCTGTAAGCCATGCGTGTCGTAAGAGGCGACTAAAATGCCAGAAGCAAGGGGCTAGTAATCCCTTCTCCTGAATATATTACTAAATGTAAAAGGAGAAACTTTAGTTTTTCCTTTTGGGCCACCCTGCCTTGGTGGGATACAGCCGGTGCATTGAAAGAAAGAAAAACAGTAACAATTATGGTGCTCAATTTCACAGTAACAGTAATATATAATAATAGTAATAATAATTCTCCGTGGGAAAGTGGAATGGAATTCTTCCTTTGTAAGCCATGTGTGTTGTAAGAGGTGACCAAAATGCCAGGAGCAAGGGACTAGCAACCCCTTCTCCTATATATGTTACTGAAGTTAAAAAGAGAAACTTGCATTTTTCTTTTTTGGGCCACCCTGCCTCGGTGGCATACAGCCAGTTTGTTGAAGGAATAATAATATGTAATAATAATAATAAATGGCCTACTTCAATGCTTCCTGACTCATATTCATGATGCATTCATATGGAGCCAATTTTAGAAGCACCACAAAAGTAAGAGTTGACAAGAAATGAAGCAAGGCTATTTGATTCATGCTAGGCAAACACTTTCCCAATTCAAACTTTTTTTTTTTTTTTTTTTTTTTACTTGCTTGTCCAACCTAATCTATGCAACCTGATGCACCTCACTCTTCCTACTGGTCACCTGCATGGTCCACTATATAATGCTGTTTTAGCTTACTCTATCAGGATTGATGAAAATACTTGTGAAACATTTATTTTAGTACAGTAGGGCTCCGCTTTACGGCATTTTGCTTTACTGTGTCCCGCTAATACGGACATTTCAAATTATGACCAAAACTTGCTATACGGCTCACCCCACCTCATTTTCTAATATGGTCACCGCGCCCCACCCGGTTTGTTTACATTCTCCGTGAACTCCATAAGCACCACGTCTCTCCATTATGTCTGGAAACTCCAAAATATCAAGTGTTTTTAAAAGTTATTTCAGATTTTATATATACTCTGATAATTATACTTATGTATACCTGTACCTAAATAAACTTATACACTGTGCTGGCATGCAGGTACACATTAAAATCGGTAAGAATGTTTTGTGTATCGAGACACCACATTAGTGATAATAATAATAATAATAATAATAATCACCGAGTCTCATTAAATGTCGTATACTATGTTAATGTATACACATTTTCATTAATCCATTATGATATTTTTTCAAAATTATTTAACAAACACGATATATAACATATAAAGATGATAAATACACCCCACAGAAGAATAAACAAACATAAATATGAGATGTTGTCGCCAGACGACTTGTACAACTGACGCCATATTAGTAATAATAATAATAATACTCAATAATCGCTGAGTCGCATTAACCCTTTCAGGGTCGCCAGGCCCTCTCCGAGACTTGTTCTCAGGGTCGCCCAAATTTCAAAAAAAAAAAAAAAAAAAAAAAAAAAAAAAAAAAAAAAAAAATGAAAAGACAGAGAATCTTTTCCTGATCGTAATGACACCAAAAGTATGAAATTTGATGGAAAACTTGCGGAATTATGCTCTCACAAAGTTAGTGGTCTCGACAATGTTTACGCATCGGCGATTTTTGCCCACTTTGAGCCCTATTTTCAGCCAATTCCAATGTACTAGTCAACAAAAATCATAACTATTTCGCTAGAACTCCATTTTTTCTATCGAATGAGTACAAGAAACCACCCATTTAACAATTTCAACTATCCAATACAGTGGTCAGAATTTAGCAATTTTGACAATTTCACACAAATTTCAAAAGATGCCAATTTCCAAATAGGGTCCAGAATAAACAAGAAAAACATTCCTGGCACTAAAATGACATTTCCTCTGTTCACTAGTCACATCCCCACACCCCTCTTACATTCTTTTGCTTTGCACTTTGAATTTTTATTCTCACAAAAAACAGAAGATTTACTGTTATGGAGAGTACTGCATTAATGTAGAAATGGTATAAGTAATATTGGAACACTTGTGAATGAATATTAGACTCGCAAGTTGACGTGTATTGGACGCTTAGCATGATTTGTTTACTTTTAAACTTTGGTAAAAATCGAACATTTCTGCTACTTTGAGCTCAATTTCAAGGTACTTTTCATTGTAAAACCAGTCAAAATCATCTCAATTTCTGTAATATGTCTTCCATTCCATAAAATGAGACCAGGAAAACTAGAATACAACAATAAATACCATACGAAAATACAGTGCAAAGTCGCTGTTTTAATCAAAAAAAATGGTCATTTTTTTTTTCTCATTATGCACTGTGTGCTGCAGGATTTTTTTTATACTGTGCACACTGACCACATAGACCCATTCTTTCATGTGTAGGCCTACCAGCTTTCTGTCACTAGATTTGAGGCCGCTAGAATTTAGGCGTACTAGCACGTCAAAAACCCTGATGCGTAAGCCATACTAGTACGTCCGAAACCCCGAAAGGGTTAAATGCCGTATATTAATATAGTTAGTAGGTTGGCAGACAGCAACTACCCAGGGAAGTACTACCGTCCTCCCAGATGACTGTGAAACAGAAACCTGTAACTGTTTTGCATGATGGTAGGATTGCTGGTTTCTTTTTGTCTCATAAACACGCTAGATAACAGGGATATCTTGCTACTCCTACTTACACTTTGGTCACACTTCACAGACACGCCACAATAAAATATATATATTATATATATATATATATATAATATAAAATATATAATATATTTTATTATATATAAAAAATATATATATACATACATCTAAGGTTTTCTCCTTTTTCTAAATAGCTCTTGTTCTTCTTTATTTCTTCTATTGTCCATGGGGAAGTGGAAAAAAACTTTCCTCCGTAAGCCATGCGTGTCGTATGAAGGCGACTATAATGCCAGGAGCAATGGGGTAGTAAACCCTTCTCCTGTAGACATTTTACTAAAAATGAGAAGAAGAAAAACTTTATAAAATTGGGATGCTTGAATGTGCATAGATGTAGTGCGGATGACAAGAAACAGATGATTGCTGATGTTATGAATGAAAAGAAGTTGGATGTCCTGACCCTAAGCGAAACAAAGCTGAAGGGGTAGGGAGTTTCGGTGGGGGGAAATAAATGGGATTAAATCTGGAGTATCTGAGAGAGTTAGAGCAAAGGAAGGGGTAGCAGTAATGTTGAAGGATCAGTTATGGAAGGAGAAAAGAGAATATGAATGTGTAAATTCAAGAATTATGTGGATTAAAGTAAAGGTTGGATGCAAAAGTGGGTCATAATAAGCGTGTATGCACCTGGAGAAGAGAGGAATGTAGAGGAGAGAGAGATTTTGGAGATGTTAAGTGAATGTATAGGAGCCTTTAAACCCAAAAATGAGAGAGTAATTGTGGTAGGGGACCTGAATGCTAAAGTAGGAGAAACTTTTAGAGAGGGTGTGGTAGGTAAGTTTGGGGTGCCAGGTGTAAATGATAATGGGAGCCCTCTGATTGAACTTTGTATAGAAAGGGGTTTAGTTATAGGTAATACATATTTTAAGAAAAAGAGGATAAATAAGTATACAAGATATGATGTAGGGCAAAATGACAGTAGTTTGTGGATTATGTATTGGTAGATAAAAGACTGTTGAGTAGACTTCAGGATGTACATGTTTATAGAGGGGCCACAGATATATCAGATCACTTTCTAGTTGTAGCTACACTGAGAGTAAAGGTAGATGGGACACAAGGAGAATAGAAGCATCAGGGAAGAGAGAGGTGAAGGTTTATAAACTAAAAAGAGGAGGCAGTTAGGGTAAGATATAAACAGCTATTGGAGGATATGATGGGCTAATGAGAGCATAGGCAATGGGGTCGAAGAGGTATGGGGTAGGTTTTAAAAATGTAGTGTTAGTGTTCAGCAGAAGTTTGTGGTTACAGGAAAGTGGGTGCGGGAGGGAAGAGGAGCGATTGGTGGAATGATGATGTAAAGAGAGTGGTAAGGGAGAAAAAGTTAGCATATGAGAAGTTTTTACAAAGTAGAAGTGATGCAAGGAGGGAAGAGTAATGGAGAAAAAGAGAGAGGTTAAGAGAGTGGTTGAAGCAATGTAAAAGAGAGCAAATGAAAATAAGAAAAAGTTTTGGAGTGAGATTAACAAGTTAAGGAAGCCTAGAGAACAAATGGATTTATCAGTTAAAAATAGGAGAGGAGAGTTATTAAATGGAGAGTTAGAGGTATTGGGAAGATGGAGGGAATAAATTTTTAGGAATTGTTAAATGTTGATGAAGAAAGGGGAACTGTGATTCGTGTAATAGGGGAAGGAGGAATAACATCTTGTAGGAGTGAGGAAGGCCAGTTGTGAGTGTGGGGGAAGTTCGTGAGGCAGTAGGTAAAATGAAAGCGGTAAGCAGCCGGATTGATGGGATAAAGATAGAAATGTTAAAAATAGGTGGGGATATAGTTTTGGAGTGGTTGGTGCAATTATTTAATAAAAGTATGGAAGAGGGTAAGGTACCTAGGGATTGGCAGAGAGCATGCAAAGTTCCTTTTGTATAAAGGCAAAGGGGACAAAAGAGAGTGCAAAAAATTATGGGGGATAAGTCTGTTGAGTATACCTGGTAACGTGTATGGTAGATTATTATTGAAAGAATTAAGAG